TCTTGTCGTTGTGTTAACGGAGGACAGAGGGGAACGAGGAGGGAGGGAGGGAGGGAGCGAGGGCGGCTAGCTCTGGCATTCCCACACTGGCATCCATACTGGCAGCACTAAGGGCCCGAGACCCAGACCCATGCTGAAGTCTTGGCCCCATCACCGCAGAAACATCATTGTGCAATGGGTGTCATCACTCAGCGGCGCATTGTCTGTCGTGTCTTCATACAGACAAAACAAGAGTTTACACGACGGACTGGGAATGCTTTCATTTTTACTGTGGGACACATACACACCCCTTAGTTACTGATTACTGTTCTGTAGGTGACATACTGCTTTTCTTCTCTCTGACAGCGCCCACCCCTCCTGCTTGGAATGGTTTGTCCCACTGGGCTGGGCTCCATGCCAGGACCACTCCAAAACAAAATAGGCTGGTGTGTGTGTGTGTGTGTGTGTGTGTGTGTGTGTTGTGGTTAAAGACCTGGAAGCCCCTCCAGATGAATAGGTTTAATTTCATTAGCATTATCATTCACTGCCAGCTTGTTTAATTCAGACAAGTGTGTTTGTCAAGTATCCAATTATAAGTCAATGAATTGGAAATTCTCTCGCTCTCTTGTCTCTTTTCACCTTTTCCAGGCAGAGCTGTCGCTCGAATCGAAACACCGTGGTTGCCAGAGGTAACTGAGGCAGCTTCAGAGTATTTCATCACATTCCCTTAGTCTTTTCTGTCGCCTGTCCTGACTGAATTACAGTAGAGCCAGAGCGCTGTGTGTCAAGGGGCCACTGCTGAGAACATGAAGCGTCTTCTTTGGTAAGAAGAAGTGAGAAAAGCAGCATCATGAACAAGAGATAGGAGTGTTGGATGAAAATAGATTTGAAGTCAGGTAAAGAGGAAGCTTGCCTTCACATATTCTCCACTGCTGTCAGTCACATCCTGCAGGCTGAAACACAAAAACACAAGTGACTGTTTGACCTTCGCTTCGCTGTGCATGCACAAAATTTCTCAGTGCTAATATGCTTTGTGTTCTGTATATCACAGAGCACGACAGAAAGTCTTTCAGTCATCAGTGTTCTGTGTGAACATGGGTCAGCTGGTCCCCCCCAACCTCCACTTACTGTGTCTGTGAGGCCTTATGTCTCCAGCCTCGTTAGTGGCTCTGGTCTCGGGTCTTAGTTATGCAGAGCAGTACTTTGAGCTAAATGCTAACATCGGTATGCTAACATGATACTGATTTTAGCATGTCTGCAATCCTAGTTTAGCATATTAGCATGCTAATTTTTGAGAGTAAGCAATGTAAGAGTCTATGCATGTTAAGATATGGCAGAGGGTAAGTCATTAGGACTCATTTTCTGGGTGCATGAACATCTGTACCAAAACATCAGAAATTTGTTGTGATATTTCAGTCTGGAGCAAAGTGGTGGACCATCTCTAGAGCTGTAGCACAGGACGTAGATGATTTACACGTTACTATTTTCAGTTTTAATTTAGATTTTACATACTGTCCCAACTTCCTCCGATTTGGGGTTGTAGTTAATTCTACATTAATTAAGACATTTTGTTCTGACTAAAAGACAATTAATTAGTATTAATTAACTGAGTACATCTATTTGCACAATAATTAGAAGTTACTGTTACAGTAACTTGGGAATTGTTAGGAAATGTTCAAGATGTTGTGGGCCTGTAAAAAGAAACTCAGAAAACATCAGCTTAAACATTTGGTTCATATTTGTGATGGAGTAGTCGCTTGGTCTGCTTCATCAGGACCGTGTGGGTGTGGTTTGATCCATTGTGATGGACAGCGGCGTCTCCATGGAAACAAGAAAACAACACCAACTGTGACCAGATTCGCGTGTGAATTTTTGTATTGATCACTTCTGGTTGTTGTCTGTCAATATCACCCACTTCTGACCGAAAACATAGCAGAGAAGTCAAAGATCTAATCATTAGATGCTGCTCAACACCCCCAGCCCGTTGTACTGGGGCTCCAGTACTAACGGTACATAGTAGTGTAGGCAGTAGTAGTAGTGCTGTCAGACCAGAACATGCTGTCCTCTGTCTCTGTGTCCTCTTGCACAACCCTCTGACAGCAGCGGTGTTCATTCGACACACCCAGCAACAGTTTGCAACACAACAAACATCTCCAGGCTGTTTGAGGAAAGCTTTACTGCTGTGTGAAACCTCATGTCTGCACATTGTCTTTTCCCTCCCAGTGCCTGTCCAGTGATCTCAGCTGCTGGCCTCTCACTGAGCCTGACGGCTCTGGGAGTCACAAATCTCAGCTCAGAGCAGGAGGACGACCAAGACGTTTCACGTGACATTAGAGAAAGGGAAGGAAACCCATACTGCAGCTGTGTTGTGTTTCTTCTGACAGCAGTGATGTGCTGTGTCACTCGGTTCCTCATCATGCTGCATATTTCCACAAGTCACGTTGGGGGATGTGACCTGCTGTTCGCAAACTCTGAGAACAGACAACAAACTTAGATGTGTGTCTGTGCTTCTATCTTTGTGAGGACTTTCTTTGACTTGCATTCCCCAGCCCCTAAAGGCTTGTTTGTGGTTTCCACTCGCCTTTGGACAAACACTGATGCGGAGCATGGCGCCACACTGTTCATACAACAGTCAGGGACACGAGTACGAGGACATGTAGGACAAGCAGCATCTCGAAATCGGGCTCGAAGTTCATAAGCACTTGTAGAGTTAAAAACAAAACCAACTTGACAACCAAGAGATCTTTTTGTAATAAGTTCAAACAGAGCCACACGGACGGGGACAGAGCACGTCTTTCTGAACGCCTGAATTTTTCATGTATTAAATTTATTATCTTTTGTATAAGATGAAAGTTTCTTACTACTTTTCCCTCTCCATAGAGACATGCTTCGTGGGGATTGGTCCAGACTGGTAGTAGACGGACTTTCGATCATGGCAATCACAACCATCTGAGTGATGAAGAGTTTGTCTTTATATTGCCTGGTTTGCTTGTCGCCAGAAGATTTCAGTGGAAAAACTCTGGAACATTTTAGTTGCATAGAGTAGGAAGAGAAAGAAGGCAGCCCTTCTCCTTTCAGAACTATGAGATATTTATCAAAACCTGAGTAGCCAGTCAGAAGAAGTGAGGACACCTGTGAGGAAGTGGCGCTTTAAAAGCAGAAGCCTGTGAGTGATCCAGGAAATGAGAAATGGCAACTCCATGTGGATTGTGTTCACATGACAAGAGGAAAAAGTCCCAAAAATCCTGCTGCTGTGTAGATAAAGTGAATAAATAGATGTAGATACCGCTGCGACCCTGATATCCTGACTAAATCACAGTTAAACTCACTGTTAGATAAGTGACAAACTGTCTCCACCTCAGGTCTTGTTCCCCAAATATATTTTCAGCACTTCCAACTTGCTTCCTTAGATTTTACAGCTCCTGTAATAACCCACGACAAATATTACACCAGCTACATTTGTCCACGTGGAGGAGGAGCTGATGAGGTTTACTATGGACAAACACAACCGCCAGTGAGTCTGAGTTCTTTTCATCGATGGTCAAGCTCAGTACACAGTTCTGCTCTGGCTGATTCTTTAAAAAACAGACCTGGCTCTCACTCACCTGCTGCTAACCAGCACCGGTGACCTCCAGCAACTGTAACCTAGTGACGGCTGCTCATCCACCTCTGTGCTGACAGGGTACTTATGTTAAGGCAACTAAAAGTACTTGGTTAAGGTGGGACAGATTATCATCATGGCTGACAAACCATCTTAAAAGTCACTTTACAGTGTTTTCTATATATGTAATTTATATTGTGCTCATTTTTTGTAGAGCTGTGTTTCATGAAATCACTTTTGTTTGTGTTGAATAATTACCTCACAGAAAACTTCAGCTAATACTCCATATGAGTACTGTAAGACTGCAACCAACAAATACCGTTGAATACTTAAGTGTATAAAGTGTCAGAAAACAGTAAAACATGCACATCATTCGTGCACGTTAACACATTCAAACTGCCTTTCCTTTCTGAGCAACACTCGAAAATCACAAAATGCTGTTTACTGTCATGGAAAACTGCACAATGAGTGTATTTTCACATTTGAGAAGTAGTACCGGTAAAGATTTTTGCATTTTTGACTATTAGTCACTTTTCACAGTTGTTACCAATTAACTTTCCATTTATTGATTAAGACAATCATGTCAGCTCTAGAGCACTAGCTGTTGCCTGAGTCGAGGCCAAGAGGGGTCTGCAAACCTTTTGGCCACTAGGAGGTTGGTCCAGCCTCCTCAGGAGGTTCTGACAAAACTACTTCTAAAAGAGGTCATATGTCAGAAACACTTCCTGATGCTCATAAATTAAAAATAGCTGACTGAAAAATCAGCACTTTCACTTCATATCTGAGGGTATATTTAACAGTGCAGAGGAGCGACTGACTGGAAACATGGGAGTTTATGACAGTTTATCTAAAAATAGATTTTTTTAAAAGTCACATATCAAATCATAAGCCCTGTATTGCCACAATCTGACCAATACACAGCCCTAATGTCTGCAGAGATCTCTGACCCAGATACAGGATGAGAAAATCCTAAATGTTGTTTGCCACACATATAAAACTGATCTGGCAGCACTGGGATGTGTGTGTGTCCTTTTGTTTGACAGTTATTCGTCCTATCTGAAGGTCACCGACACTGACAGAGCCATTTTCCTTAGGAAGAACATAAACATTCAGTGAGCCGACTGGCTGGTGTCTGAGCAGAGACATGAAGAAGATATGATGCCTGATTAGTTAAATTATGCCAGTGTTCCAGGGACCCCAGACTTATTTAACTAACGGGTTAGTCACCATGTCCAGACAAGTAGGAGACACTGCTCCTTTAGTTGGAAAACTATGAGGTTACTGTGGTACAGCCTGAAGAAGATCAGCTAAACTGTAAGATGAAGATATGTAGGGTCATGTAACAGCCTCCTCACACTGTCAGAGGTCAGAGGTCACAGCCAGGTGTGAGAAGGTCAGACTGAAGCAGGTAGGACAGACAGGGAGAGGAAAACAGGCTGCTGCTCTCTGTCAAGCTTTATCACTGTTCTGACCGAGGCCAGAGCAGGATCGGATTCCTCCCTTATGTAAGACACAGCCCGGTCCGGATTCAGCCTGCACACCTCCCTCTAACACGCACACGAACGACTACAAACCCCGCTGTCACCAAAGTCAACTAGTTGTAAATGTTTCACAAGTCCGGAGCTTTTCGTGCTTTACAGGCATCAAACTAACCCAAACATCTCTGCACCCAGCACAGACTGCGTGCACGCCTGAATGCACATATTCAAATCTGCTGCCAGTCGCTGGACATGTCGGACTCCTGGAGCAGATGACACTGACAGAACTCCAGTTTGCGCTGACAGAGACAGTCCCCAGTCAGAGTTAGTCACAGAAACACAGGAACCGTTCGCTCACCGTGTCTGTCCCGCTGCGCAGCGGACCGACCCGAGGTCCCAGTCCCCGACTTCGCTCATCTCGTCCCGCACAGTCCGACAAAAACTCCGCTGATTTCCAAACATCTGACTGGAGCAGGCGCAGCTGCTGCGCATGCCCGCTGCCGCAGACACTCTGCATTTTCATGCACCTATTTTAATCACGATCACTGTATAAGAGTTTATGACTTCTCTGTAAAATGATGACTTTGTTCTCAAAACATTACTATTTCCCATAATTATAAACAGTAACACGTCGTAGTACATTAATACTCTAACGACAAGTGTTACTGGGGTTTGGTGTTGTTTTATTGTATTCCTGTTGATTTTATTTTTGTGGCAGTAGCTTTTATTGGCTGTAAATTAATTGTAAAGATTATTTCTGGGTCATCTGTTACTATTGCTTGTCTTGTTTTCACCTTTTTTAAATGAATCTATTAGTGTGGTAAATTGTTACCAACACAAACCAACTTGTTTCATCAGTTACATGAAAATAAGATTTATTTTTTCCCTAAACTTTCTTATTTATTCAGGCCCGATGCAGCAGTCTGCCAGATTATGTCCTCATGATAGCCAGAAGTTTCAAATAAGTTGCTTTGCGAAGTAAACAAGATGAAATAATCCCTCTGATGTGGCAGGTTCTTAGGAAAGTAAGACTCAGTAATAGACAACGACTTGACAGGATGGAGGCTTTGTGCTGTGTGGCTCACAGACTATTTCAGGGGCCGTCGCTGTTTCTTCTGCAATAAATAAATGCAATAAATAAGTGCAATAAATAACCTGTCTCACCTGTCAGCACTTGCCGCTTCCTGTGAGCGGCTCTCAGTCCTGCTGTTTTCCTGTGTCTTTGTGACACCCTGCTGTCTCTGTGTTTGCTTGTCCGTGTGGCTGTGGGCTCCCTTAGCTATCGGGTCCATGGGCACATACACATCCTGCATGGGAACCACTTTGGGGCCATTAGTTGCCATGTTTGAAGGTTTTCCTACAGATCCACCAGTTTCTAAAACACCTTTGCTCCTTGGCACTCCCTCCTGTATCATAATGGGGTCTCCTGGAGGATCTGTGAAGCAGCATTCAGGTGCTGAGGTCAAAGGTGACGTCCGGCTGGGTGTCGGCATGGCAGGCAGTGTCCGATCCAGATGGTTCAGGCTGTGGCTGGACAGGGCACTGAGGAGGGGGGAGTCTCGGACATGTTCCGCCGCCCTCCACTGGCTCGGCCCTCCACTCATCCCCTCCTCCTTTATCTTCTTCTTCTCCTTCAACCACCTGCAGCTCTTCTTCTGCTTCTCGCTGCGGGGCACAGTGCCCACATGTGTATACATGTCAGTGGAGCAGACATAGCTGGGGCTGCGGAGGCAGGACTCCATGTCATCCACTGACTGGACCCCAGCCAATGCTGGTTTGGCCCCGCCGAGGCTCCCATCATGCTCTGGGGCAGCCTTACTGTTGCCCTTCTGTGACAGGCGGTGGGTGGAGAGGTTAGTGAAGCTCCCAAACCACTTGAAACCTGAAGAACAGGAGCTAGTCAGATACGGTGGCCAGAATCATTCCTTCAACACATTTAAAGGGGACTTTGTTATAATGAATTAGAGTCTGAGTGTGTAAATAAAGATATAATGAGTTTAAAAATAAGAATGGTGACCAGGCAGCTTGTCTGCTTTTACACACATGCCAAAAGTGATCAGACACATTCTGTTCCTTATTGGGACTAGATATAATTTCAACCAGCTCTTTAGCCTCATATTTCTTGATTGAAAGTCCATCAAATGAGCACAAAGTGATACAAAACAACCTAAAAGATGCAAAGTGGCCACAAAACTACACAAAGACAACCTGTTGTCTCATAATCCTTCAATGGCTGTACATTTGGAGTAAACCAGCAGCCTGTGAGGATCCTCAGATACTTTGCATAGGTAGAATTAGGAGACTTAGAGCTTTCAAGCAGCATATAATTTGTCAAGGTTGTGTGTAGACTGAGTCCAGTACAGACCAAAATACACCTGAAGCAGTGCTATGGGCCAAAGAGTCCCACAGGTGGGACAACGTACTGGGTTGTATCTGTCTTACAAATCTCCTCTGACATCTGGTCCTGACACTGATGTTGAGATACTGACTGATGAAATGCAGGAACTGACTTACAGCTCCTACAGAAGATGACGCTGTATTTAGTAACACAGGAAAACACAATGTTGACCTCGTTGTCAGGCTATTTATAAAGGGAAATGATGAAACATCTGAAATAATATTAATCAGAGCAGTGTTCATCCACCCACCTGTTTCTTAGGCAGGTAATAATTTCTTCCATCTATAACATGTACTCCTACATTTTTAAGACAATCGCAGCATAATGTGGGAGCCGCAGCTGAAAACATCCCGTTTTCACTGGGTCCTGAGAAAAACCAGAATGTTTTCTTTGACTCCAAGTCATTTGAGGAATGTTGTTGTACCCTCTCATCAGTTTCTGGTCTGGGCTACAGCCTCCCGGCTCTCAGCAGTGTTTGACTATGTTTCTGCCTCAGGGACCTATTAGAGCCTGAAAACACCGACTGATATTTATTTCCTCAGCTAAATATAGACCCATGATTTTGACAGAGAGGAGATGCTGGAGGCTCAGATGTAAAGAAGGGAGAGTATCTCTGCTGCTGCTGTTGAGATTCCCACTGAATGTTTCTCTTCATCTTTTCAGTGAGTGAGAAGAAACTTTTCAGGACCAGGAAAATATTATACAATATTATAGCAGTCTCTGCACTAAGCTAGGCTAAACACATCGTGGGTCTACAGTGCCACACAGTGCCAAGAGGAAGTGACCTTCACCCAGCAGTTATTGTTTCACTGAGACTGTGGAAGTGACTCTAAGATCCTAACTTTGCAGCGGGTTTTTGTTATACATCATACTTGAACTAACAGGTATGTGACATCCCAACAAAGCAGAGCAGCAGTGATTTGTTTACAGCTAACTCCTGTTTTCAGGCTGAATGAGTGGCCTTACGATGCGTCGGGGTGAAATTCAGCGTTAAACAGTGAACAGCTATGGAGCAGAAGGGAAGAAGCACACGGAGCTGTCGTCCTTTCAGCTGACAGTCGCTGCTCTTTCTCAGCTCAGCTCGGTGCTAAACTCTGTGCCCAATGTCCATTCAGACTGCACAAAGACATGACTATGCTTCATTTACAATGGACCATAAAAACTGTTTGTAAGTGGAACAGTGGACAAAGAGCCAACACAAATACACAGTGTCACACAGGGAAACAAGCCTCAATAGATCACAGTCGTTAATAGGATTACACACATACACTTGCATCATCCTCTTTTCTCTGACTCATCATATAACACTGTCCTGTCCCTGTTGTGCTTCGCTACAGGCTGCTTCTCTTTTCTGCTGCTTTATACTTCTTCTCTGCTACATTTCAGAGGCAGATGTCACTACGTGCCTCTGGCTGCTTCTTAGATTAAACCTGTACATTAAAGGTTAAATCACTGGTTTTCAGGCTGGAGTTTGGCTGGAGATTAAGAAGAGTGTAAAAATACTCCATTACTAGTGGAAGTCCTGCGTCCAAAATCCCTCCTAAGCAAAAAGTATAAGAGTATCATCAACAAAATGTATTTAAAGTAAATGTTTGCAGAAAATCACCCGTTGTGACTGATGTTGTAAATGACATTAGGCATCAATATGTACGCTGCATTCTAGTGTTGGAGCTGCTCAGCATGGAGCTGACTTTAACTATACCTTATACAGTTAACTAGTTTAAGCTAGTGGTTCCCAATCTGGGGGTCGGGCCCCTCCAAAGGGCCATCAGATAAATCTGAGGGGTTGTGAGTTGATTAATGGGAGGAAAGAAAAAGGCTCTAATAGTAAGTCCTGGTTCGTTTTTCAAACTAATTTTAGCTTTTTTCTAAAACACTCTTTAACCTCAAGCATGAAACCATATGAGAAGAGGGAATTCTGTTTCTGGTGGTGCTGTGAACAACTAATCTGAAATGTGACGAGGAGGCCAGAGCTGCTCGGGTCAGCGGTGTAACCCTAAACAATGCTTTGTGTTGTGACTACAGCTGTTAATTACATGCAAATGAACCTGAACGTGTTATATTAGAACCATAAATGTAGTGGAAAAGAAGTATAAAAACCATAAAATAGAAATTCCCAAGTAAAGTACCTCAAAACTGCACAGTCCTTGAGTAAATGTACTTAGTTACTTTCCACTACAGAGCAATTTTACTTCAAAATTTAAATACCACTTTGAGGTACAAAGAGATAAATCCCAGTCATTTATAGTGATTTAATACTAAAATACTGCATAAACATAGCTCAGTATTAACAACCTAATCATGTCACAGTTAATAATATATATAAATAACAGATAGTTGGTCACAGGAGCCATTTTACTGCATTATGTGTACTTTTATCTTTGATACTTTGAGTACATTTTGCTGCTAATATGTCTTTACTTTTACTGAAGTAGGATTTTGAATGAAGTATATTTGTACTTAAGTAAAGAATCAGAGCATCTAATGCCTCTGCTCCATCGTCTGTTGTGTTGTCATATAACAACTTCATATACCTGATATTATTTCTATTATGTTACAGGCCTGGAATGCAGTACTTACATCTGACCTTTTCCAAGGATGTCAGGTTTCTTGCCTGTGTAAAGCACTTGGAATTGTTGGAAATGTGCTGCTCTGAATAAATAAAGCCACCTTTCGTTTATGACAGTGGGGAAATAAACCCCCCAATGAGCCAAGATATTGCACAAGTGCATCAAAAAACAAACTGTAACTTACTCAGTTTCCGTTTGTTCATGGTTCCAATGGTGAAAGTGTTGGTTCCCTGATACGCTCACACACATACACCAGTCATAAAACAGCATCTTCCACTGGTTCCTGCAGCGACGAGCCTCATGCTCTTCAGCGTGAATCTGCTTCCTGTCTACTGAACACAGCGGAAGTGTTGGAGTGGGTTTTAGAACAGTGTCAAGTTACTGTATGTTGATGCAATCAGGTGCCAAGTCTCAGTCTGACTTCACACTGCAAATGTGGGTCAGTGTGGAGTCGCTGTGGCTGCTCATCTGACAGGACTCAGCCTTAGGTTTCCTCTGACAGGCCAGAGGCGGTTGAGAGTTCGATAAATTTACTTTATCCTTTACCTTAGAGAGAAAGAACTGGCCTGAGTTTAACACATGGATCACAGTGTTCTGATGTTACAGGGAACTACTGAGCTCGTAAACCCTGTTAGAGGATTTCAGATCAGACACCAAACACTGGAGCTTAAAGAGAAATAAACATATACATATATATTTTTGATATCTCATGTTTTATTTATTCTGTTACCTGATTTATTGACAGTATTGTCTCTAGTTTTTATATCTCAGCATAAAGGTAACACCTTTTTTCACCCTGTCTGGAACATAATCCTGTGAAAACCTTGAAATGGAAAGAAATTAATTTTAAAAAGTCACAAAGGAAATATTTTTAACACTGTATACAGTACACCACTACATCTACTACTGTGAAATATGTTCATATAGATGTATTATACTGGAAATCTAAAATTATCTTCAAAGTATTTTGCACTTTGTCTTGAAGACACAATAGTTTATAATCAATCCAACAAAACCTAAACTTTACCAAAAGTAAAACAGACAATGACACTAAAGCATATCATTAAAATATATCTAAATAAATTCAGGAAATTACTTTTAAAAGGACTACAAAATGGAAAAGAGATGATGACAAATAAAAGATATCAGATATAGTAGCATATGTTTTTGTGTCTCCACCAAAAGCTAAAATGATTTATTGGTCATTTATAAGAAGGATACTTGGAGACACGTCCCCAGCTCGTAATCACTGAACTGACCTGAGAGCAGGAAAAACCCCAGATTTAAAAGATCAGTGATGATCTTTTAGCTGAATTCGCTCCAGTGCAAGTCAAAGGATTTGTGTGAACGTCACCACTTCTCCAAATCACAGAGCAACAGGTACATATATTATTTTATAGACACAGTATGAACAATAACACATGTTTCCTCTGTTCTGTCCTTTTCCAAAACGTCTTCGCTCCTCCATATGTTCTCACCCTGAAAGGTTCCAGATAACAAGCTGTTCTCACCATTTATCTGGCTTCATCCACACAAATCAAACTCTGTTGTCCTGAAAGCTCAAACAAAAAGAAAAAGAAATAGGCGTGACAAGGAATCAAGGACAAAGGCGAGCAACTAAAAGTCACATTTCCTAAACAATACTACACAGAACAATTTCACTTCATGTTTCAGTTCTTAAACTCCCTGGGTGGAGCTCCAACTTCGGGTGACCTCGGCCTCCTCCGCATGTTAACACACATATAACTGGGACAACAGTGCCCAGCGCTGACTGAAAGCTGAGAAGAACAGACCTGAAGTTTGGTTCAGCGTTAATGACACGGTTCCAGCAGCTTTTCACTGCTTCTCTCTTGTTTCGTGAACAAAGATCTTGTAAAATATGGTGAAATTAAAGTTGTTTTTCTTGTGTTTTGTTTTGGAGAGAAATTGAAAATGATGCAGAGCCTACACAGATGTGTAAAGATCTCTCTAAATGAAAACTGATATGAAATTAAAAGCCCCACGGTTCCGTGCTGCTGTCTGTCTGCTCATACTGCTGTCAGACCTAAGATTAAATCATGTTAAATGAGAGCAGGCTCTTCTTTGCCAGGCAGAAACACAGAGACAGGAAAGGTAACCGCAGCAGGAGGAGCAGCATCTGTCACTTCCCAGGCTGTGTGGGTGGAGGCACGGGCCTGTCACCATCTTGCCACATTTCCTGCCAACATTTCCTGATGAACAAGGATCCCAAAACCATCTCAGCAGATTTGTACATCTAAACCCTGCACTCATGAAACCTTCATATGGCTGTAGCTTTAGGGAGCTTAGTCCTCGGAACCGCATCATGTTGGTCGTGGAAGATGCAGACAAAATGCATCCAGCAGTGAACACACACTTATTTCAAAGCTCCCAACAGCCAGACTCCAGCTCTGCTGCTATAATCAGCAGCCCGGGATGTGGAAGCGTTCTGTGTGCACCAGGCGTCGTGCTTAAATGACCATTACAGCAGCTGCTCTGTGTGCTGATCCTCTGTCTCACTCACAAACGAGTCTTACAAACCTTTACTTCTTTACTCCTAACTGTTTCACAACTTGAGCAGACTTCCCAGCATGCATTGTGTGAGAGTTAAAATTCTTCAGTTACTCATTTTTTCCCAGTTTGACAAACTCATTGATGGTGGAAGCTTACTGCATGTCTGTAATACACATTAAAGTAAGTGTAGGTTGATCATTCTCATCAGTGTCTGGCCCTGCTGCTGGCGCTGCTCTTCCTCTGTGGACTGAACAGCTGCAACTAAGTTTTTAATGTCAAATAAAGAAAAGAGTTTTGTGAATTTACATTGGATGCTTGCTAATATTACTTTATATATATTCTAAAATTGTTAGTATATAGTTGTCAATCTATTGCTAATGTTTTATATTATTTTAAAGGGAAAATCCCTGGGCTTTAAAGGTTAGCCGTGCTGCTGTCTGTCTGCTCATACTGCTGTCAGACCTAAGATTAAATCATGCTAAATGAGAGCAGGCTCTTCTTTGCCAGGCAGAAACACAGAGACAGGAAAGGTAACCGCAGCAGGAGGAGCAGCATCTGTCACTTCCCAGGCTGTGTGGGTGGAGGCACGGGCCTGTCACCATCTTGCCACATTTCCTGCCAACATTTCCTGATGAACAAGGATCCCAAAACCATCTCAGCAGATTTGTACATCTAAACCCTGCACTCATGAAACCTTCATATGGCTGTAGCTTTAGGGAGCTTAGTCCTCGGAACCGCATCATGTTGGTCGTGGAAGATGCAGACAAAATGCATCCAGCAGTGAACACACACTTATTTCAAAGCTCCCAACAGCCAGACTCCAGCTCTGCTGCTATAATCAGCAGCCCGGGATGTGGAAGCGTTCTGTGTGCACCAGGCGTCGTGCTTAAATGACCATTACAGCAGCTGCTCTGTGTGCTGATCCTCTGTCTCACTCACAAACGAGTCTTACAAACCTTTACTTCTTTACTCCTAACTGTTTCACAACTTGAGCAGACTTCCCAGCATGCATTGTGTGAGATTTAAAATTCTTCAGTTACTCATTTTTTCCCAGTTTGACAAACTCATTGATGGTGGAAGCTTACTGCATGTCTGTAATACACATTAAAGTAAGTGTAGGTTGATCATTCTCATCAGTGTCTGGCCCTGCTGCTGGCGCTGCTCTTCCTCTGTGGACTGAACAGCTGCAACTAAGTTTTTAATGTCAAATAAAGAAAAGAGTTTTGTGAATTTACATTGGATGCTTGCTAATATTACTTTATATATATTCTAAAATTGTTAGTATATAGTTGTCAATCTATTGCTAATGTTTTATATTATTTTAAAGGGAAAATTCCTGGGCTTTGAAGGTTAGTTTTTTTAACATGAAAAAAACTTTTCATTTAGAATTAAAAGAAAAAACTACTTAGAATTACAGGAAATTACTACATTTTTAGAAAAAGGTTTATTTTCTGTGTTTTTATGGTAATGTTATATTTATTTTACTTTATTTTCTATTTTATTGTTAATTTTACTGTACATTTTATTTATTTATTTATCTTCTGTTCTTAGGGTTTGAATGGAGCTTGGCTCTGTGACACGGAGCCTTCTGTAAAATGAGTTTCTGGGTTCTTTGGGCTCATTTAAAGCGATGTTACAGGAACTCGCTGCACAATCTTCATCGTCAGCCTGCAGACTAAAGGCTGTTCATATCACTGCTCCTTTCAGTTCATTTTTTCTTTTCTTTTATTGTAATTGTATTGATAGCGTGTGATAGAGCTCTTTGTTTTTAGACTGTGTTGCTGTGTTAGACTGACTTTCTATCAGAGACATACAACAGTTGTTATGTCGTCTGAACAAGGGCGGCTCAGAGTAAAGCCCGGTGAATGAAGACTGCAGCAGAGAAATCTGTATTAAAACAAAAAATGAACTTAGCTTCATAGTGCACAGGAAATATTTGCACCAAAATAAAGGTCATGCTTTTATCTGGTGTGTACAAACAGGTACAAACTCTGGGCGTGTCAGTGGAAAAAGGTCAAGCCAAAACGTACCAGACTTAACCTTTAACCATAGTGACTTCAGCATCAACCAAAGTAATCCAACATTTAGTGTAAACTGATAAAATTGCCACTTGGGGATGGACATTCACAGACACGTCCCATCCATTCTGTGGGATTTCACACCAAATCCAGGAGATGTGCAAAAGTCACCTGCTGATGGTAAGTGCATGAGGCCCAGCTGCTGCGCTGGTTTTAACCACTAGGTGGCAACAGAGCTCCTCCTACTCTAGAGTGAGGTGACTCAAATCCTTGTGTGGGGAAGTGGGAGCAGCAGATGAACCCTGAGAGTACTCTAAAACTTCTATTGAAAACCAGTTCACCTCAGAGAGACGTGTACATTAGGTGTCACTGCAGTTTCCAGGTGGAGCTGGACATTCATTATGGTCTGGAGCCTTTTCTAATGCTTTCCTTAAGTAGAAGAAGTACACCGGAGTGCAGTACTCCTTCTGCCAGTGGTGTATACAGAATCATGCACATTCAAGTAAAAGTACTGCAGTTTTTCTCAGTCACTTTGGTACATTTCTCAGATCAGAATTGAAATTCTCAAAACTACCTGTTCAATCTTCACATCATTGTGTCACTTGTGCACATCAAAAAAGCAGTTTCTCATTTGTCTGAAGAAGTTGCAAATGCTTTGGTACATCCATGCAAATGATTATGTACAATTCTCTGCTGTTTCCTACATTATCAGTTGTTTATGTCATGTTGATCAAAATGTATTATATAGTTCACTGTGCAATAGTCTTACCCCTCAAAACATCTAGTCATTAGTTCATCGTATA